CCTGGGGCTTGACCTTGAGCTACTCCACCAGCACTATTTTTGTGAAGGGTTTTTCGAGATAATAATTCTCATGAATTATTTGTCCAGGCTGGCTTTGAATCGAGATCCTCCCAATATCTGCCTCGTGAGTAGCTAGCATTACTGGTGCCCAGCCTTGGCCTGGAATATTCTTGTTCTAAGTCTCACTTGTTCTTGTCCAGATCTCTTGAGTACACTTGAGGTGTGTTCAGACAGATGGGTAGATTGCTAAAGATGGATAGAGCTGGAGAGTGGATGGTGGATTGGAGGATGGGTGGATGGATGGATATGTGGAAAGAAAGATGGATGGATAGAAGGCTGGGTTAAGATGAGTTTCTAGACAAGTTTGATTTTTGGAATATCTAACACACCTAGTTTAAAGACCAGAGCAAGTCCCACGACAATTAGAAGTCATTTGAATGTTGGAATAATTTATGCCATTGCTTTCCTCTACAGAAAGCTGTGGTTTAACTATACAAACACAATATTTGATGAAAATACCTCAAATAGGCAGCTGATGGCAGTGACGAAGACTGTCTGAAAATAAAACAGTTTAAAAATATCAGATAAGAGAGAGAGTAGGAGGCAGGGAGAGAGGGTGAACCGTTGGTGAACACAGCAAGCAAGATGATCAGGACTGGAGGAGTGGAAAGGCAGGAGGAAGGCAATGGGAAGCCCCTTAGAAGGACTTCCTGATAATCAGGAGCAGGACATAATGGAAGAGAGCATTGGGAAGAAAATGGGAAACGGTAATGATCTTGTTTGGAAGCAGAATGTTAGACTAGGGCTGGTGGAATGGCTCAAGTGGTAGAGGATTTGCCTGGTAAACTTGAGGTCCTGAGTCAACCCCCCAGCACCACCATACAAACTAACAAACAAAAACCCCTAGCCAGGCACCGGTGGCTCACACCTGTAATCCTAGCTATTCAGGAGGCAGAGATCAGGAGGATCTCCATTTGAAGCCAGGCCAGGCAAATAGTTTGTGTGAACCTATCTTGAAAAAAACAAACAAAAAAGGGCTGGTGGAGTGGCTTAAGGCCCTGAGTTCAAGTCCCAGAACCACAAACAAAACAAAACAAAACAACCACCACCAACAACAAAACATTAGAATAATTACTCATTTTTTTTTTCTTTCTTTTTTTTGGTGGTGCTGGGGATCAAATCCAGGCATTGCCTGTGCTAAATACAAGCATGCAGTCTATTGCTGAGTTACACCCCAAGCCCTAGTCATGATTCTTTTTTGTTTTTGTTTTTGTAGTACTAGCGGTCAAACTCAGGGCCTTGCTTTTGCCAGTCAGGTGCCCTACCACTTAAGTCACATCCCCAGCCCGCTTTTAGTTATTTTTTCAGGTAGGGTTTTAAGTTTTTGTCCAGGGCCAGCCATGGACCTACCTACACCTCCTGTGTATCTGGGATCACAGACGTGAACCACCATGCTGGGCTTATTGGTTGAGATGGGGTCTCACTAACTTTGTCTAGTCTGGCCTTGAACCTTGATCCTCCTGATTTCTGCCTCCTAGTAGCTGGGATTATGGATCTGCCTCCCCCGTTCATGAATCTTTTTTTGAGGGAGTGTTTGAACTCAGGCCCTTGCACTTGCTAGGCTTTAGCACTTAAGCCACACCCTCAGCCCTCTATTCATGACTCTTGACCTACTATGCATTCAGCTGAAATTTATTGAGCTTCCATTCTGACCTACTTGGGGGCCCAAGCACTTTCACTTGCATTGTCAGAGCCCATTACGCCCTGAGGCAGGAAGACTAAGTCCACTTGCTTTCAATGAGCACCTTTTGCTTGGGTGATCTCCTCCACACCCATGGTTTTAACCACAGCAGCCACCAAGGGTTTCTCTCCAGCCGGCCTCCTAAGCACCACGCCTTACCTCCACCTTGCACTGATTATCTCTCCCTGGCTGTCTGCAGGTGCCTTAAATTTAGGAGGTCACACTCAGAATTACCTGTGTGTCCCTCTACCTTCACTGCTCTCTCAGATTCCCTATCTCTATTCACGGCACCCTTCACCTGGCCATTCACCCCCAACATCAGGACTTGGCACCACCCTCTTTTTTCTGCCTGTGTCCCCATATTGGTCACCACGTCCATTAAACCTTTTTCCTAAAGACCCCACAGATTTGCTTCCATTTTCTGCCCATGGGAAGTGACCTAAGTTCAGGTCCTCACTACTTCTCACTGGGGTACGCGCTGGCTTCCTTGTGGCCTCTTCCTACTCTCCCATCTTGACGCCCCCTCCCTTTTTTTTTGTACTGAGGTTCAAACTCAAGGCCTTATGCTTGCTAGGCAGGCGTTTTACCACTTGAGCCACTCTGCCAGCCCTTTTTTTTGTGTGTGATGAGTGGTTTTGAGATAGGGTCTTGTGAACTATTTGCCCGGGCCTGGCTTTGAACCCTGATCCTCCTGATCTCTGCCTCCTGATTAGCTAGGATTTACAGGCGTGAGCCACTGGTGCTCTGCCCATCACCCCTGTTAATTATCAGACTTATTTTTCCAAAATCAGGCTCATTTAGGGTGTGTGTAATCAGGAATACACACCCTAAAGCCATGTAATTAGACCCAGAATGTCTTTAAAATAACCCCCTTAGCTCCTCCAACAAGACCCTTCATACTCTGCCCACTCCTCTTCCTCCACTCCTTGCTTGCTGTTCTTCAACAAGGTGCTGGTGACTGGCTCTCCTGCCTGCTGCCTCTGCAGAGGCTGTTCCTGCCACCCTGGAATGCCTTTCCTCCCATTTGCGCTGATCTAACTCCTCCCCATTCTTCACTCAGTGTGCTGGGTTTCACCTCTTCCAGGCAGACTCTCTGACTGGAGTCTTGGGTTTTTTTTTTTTGGTACTGGGGTTTGAACTTAGGGTCTTGTGCTTGGTAGGCAGGTGCTCTACCACTTGAGTCATGCCTCCAAGCCCCAGACTCTCTGACTAGAAAAGACCTGAAGGTACCCGGAAGGTACCAATCAGGTAAGTTCCTGCCTTCCTTTGGGCTCTTTGTTATTTTTTTCCCCTCCAAAATAGGATCTCATTCTATAGCCTAGGTTAGCCTGGAAATCATATGTAGCCCAGAATGGCCTTGAACTCATGATTCTCCTGTCTCAGCTTCCCAAGTGCTGGGATTACAGGCATGAGCCACCCTACCTGACTTTTCCTGGACTCTTACTGTGTCCAGTGCATTCTCTTTCTTAGCACTGATCACACTGCATTACTCTTGCCTGCTGTCTCTCCCACTCAAATGTGAGGTTTTCCAGGACAGCTTTGCTGTCTTTTCACATCTGCATTCCTTGTGCAGTGTGTTGTCTGACTTGTAGGGTACTCAGTAAATGTGTGTTGAATGAATGTGTAACCTATAGCTCTCTATCATCGTCAGGCATTTGATCTCACCTTTCCTCCTGGGGAAGCCAATTTAGTACAGTTTAAGATCGGCTCAGGATGTGCTGTGCAAACCAGTACATCTCTCTCTCTCTCTCTCTCTTTCCTCCATCTCTCTCAGAATTCATTGTTGCCACACCCTTGGCACAGACGCAGGCAGCTCTGCCTGCAGAACATCAGCTGGCAGTGCACAGCCGTCCCCTTCCTCCCTGGCTCTGTCTTCACTCAGCACAAACCGTTTTTCCTTTTTGGGTGTTCAGAGCTCCGATAGCAGAGGGCTGAGTGGGAGGGAGGCTGCAGTGGGCTGTATGCAGGGAGGCAGGAAGGCGGTGTGGGAGAGCGGGATGTAGGCGGAGGCACTGCTGTGTGGGCTCTACTGAGGAAGAAAGAAAATTTAGCTCCTGGGATGCACTTGACCTCTTTTGCTCTCTGGGGGCTGGAATCACTCAGTTGATATTTATCCTCTGCCTGAGCATTGCACAGTTGAGAGAGGAGAGAGCGAGGACTGGGCAGAACGCTGGGCTCAGGCTGTCATTATATCCTTACTGGAGAACACAGGAAAATCGAATCTGCCGTGCCCCGCATTTGCTCACTCATTCATTCAATAGCTGGGTGATGCCAGGTGCTGGGGACAGAGAGGAACATGGCACTGTGCTCTTTCTGGGCTCAAACGCTAAGGGACATGAGGTCTAAGATAGATTATGTCACGACACAGCATTCTGGTGTTGGTTTGGCATGGTGTGAGAGCAGGGACTTGGAAGGTTGGAAGGAGGACAGGTCACTGACCATAGAAGGGTATCACTATAGAGCTGGGTGTGGTGGTGTACACCAGTAATCCCAACACTCGGGAGGCAGAGGTAGGAGGATCGAAAGGCCAGCCTGGGCTGTCTCAAAAAGAAAAAAAAAAAAAAAGCATCAGCTATGGTGACAATGGACTCTGATTCATTAGAGGACATGCCATTTCACTCTACATCGAGACCAGCATCATACGTGGTAGAAAGGTACTTACCTGGGTGCCAGTGGCTCACGCCTGTAATCCTAGCTAGCTCAGGAGGAGGATCAAGGTTTGAAGCCAGCCTGGGCAAATAGTTCGTGAGACCTTATCTCAAAAAAAAAAAAAAAA